AATACAGTAATTTTGAAGTAATGATAAGCATATGTAATATTTCAAGATGTGATAATAATTAATATTCATAGGGCCCTTTAAAGTTTGCAAAACATTTCATTGCCTCAAAACCACACTGGGAGGTAGATGCTATTATTATCCTTGTTTTGTAGATGATGAAACAGGCTCAGAGGTTAAATTATGTGCCCATGGTCACACAACTAATAAGTGTTTGATGCTGGATTCAAACTCTAAGTTTCCTTATTCCAAGTCTAGCAGTCTTAACCAGTGAGCCACCTACCTAGCTGCCAGGTATTTGCAGCAATTTCTATTGGTGACAAAGTCACTGGTATTGCTAACACTATTATAGATTGTTGCCTATATTCATAATTGAAAAAAATGGTAAATTTCATTTAGAGGTTAGTGAAAATAAAGATGAACCCCTTTGGGGACTTGTAGACTCCAGGAAGGTGAAGAAATAACGATCTAATGATCTCAAACATCCCTTTCAGTCCTAGCATTCTATGCTTCTTTGGTGCTCATTGAAAAGGGGGACACACACATAGTCATATGTCTTATAAGTATTTGAAGTGCTATTGTGGAAGAGGAGTTAGACCTGGACTACCTCCAATGGTGGTAAACCAGTCCTGTTCGTTCTGGGCATCTTCATTCCTGATTTCAAGGGATACATTCTTCAAGGTCCTATAGACCCTTATTTGCCCACACTTAAAAAGATTGACTAAGTGGCAATTTGTGGGAGGCCCCAGCTAGTTAGTGTCTCTCTCTTCAATCTCCTCCTCCAATCCTTCCTGCACATTTTGACAGCTTCCTAATGCACAGCTCTGTTCATGCCCACTTCCTGCTTAAAAAGGTACAACTCCTCAGTGTCTACAGAATAAAGTATAAGGGGATTTGTTCTGTGAAGTTTGGATTCAGTCAAAGGGCCGAACTTGAAGACCTAGAGGGCCAAACTTGAGGACCTGGAGGGCCACATGTGACCTCGAGGCTACAGGTTCCCCACCTCTGAGAGGGAGGAAAGTGCTTCCAGATCTCCTTTGAGGCAGCTAAGCAGAGCAGTGGGTAGAGTGCTGGGCCTTGACTTAGGGAGACCTGAGTTTAAAACCTGTCCAGACACTAGCTGTGTGACGTGGGCAAATCACTTAATCTCTATTTGCCTCAGTTTTCTCATCTGTAAAATGAGGATAATAATAGCATCTACCTCTTAGAGTTATTGTGAGGATCAAATGAAATGTTCTAGTGCCCGAAACATAGTAGATGCTTAATAAATGCTTGTCTTTCCAGCTCCAAGAGTGTGCTAATGGAAGACCCTGATCTGGTTTTATCTCTTAAGCGTACAGTTTTGTCACTCTCTTGCCTCGTGGGAATATCTAATCTTCAGTAGTACTTCTTTAAGAGTTCCTCATTTTTCCCCTGTTGTGTCTTGGGGGGCCCATGTGTCCCTTTCCATCAACTGTTTAGCCTCTTCTTAATCCCCTTTCGGCTTCTATCAACATTGCCAAATTGGAGAATTGGGTTTGGGGGATGGAGGTGAAGGGAATTCCCATAATTCTGAGCAGCCATGTACAGTCCATGGAGAAGGCAGATGGATGGGAAAGGACCAGCAAGGCTTCCTATTCCAAATCTGGCTATATACAACTTTGTATTATAGTGATTTTGGTCCCTGTCCTCCTTTGCCAGAAAGAGGGAAGAGACTAGGTTTATTCCTGTTTCCTTCCTAGTTTGGGCCTGGCAGAAAGTTAAGGTTATGATGTGTCTCTTAAAGTAGTTGTAAGTGTTTTGATGAAGACAGAATGGCAATAAGGTAAGTTGGATGGTCTTAAAATTATGGTTTTGTCCTGTATAAAAGAAGGAAGATTCTGAACTCTGACCTTGATCTCTTACTCCAGCTTGATTTAAGGAATTTGTAGACTGGAACTCAACAGATGTAGATGCTGAGAGCACAGACTCCTGTCATCAGGGTGGGGTGGGTGAGGTGGGGTAGGGAGTGATATACGGTTATAGGATTTAGAACAGGAGAGACCTTAGAGATCTGGTCTAAGCCCTTTATTTTATGGAAGAGCAAGTTGAGGCCTAGAAAGACTTAAATGGCTTTGCTCAAACTTACAGAATCAGTTAGTGGCAAAGCTAGACTTCTAACTTAGGTCCTTTGGTTCCCTTCCCAATTGCCTAAAGAAGTTGCTACTGTTGGGTCTCAAAGGCAGGATTTGAATCATCTGAAAGGGATCCTAGTTATGTAGATTAATATCCTTATTTGATAGAAAGTAAACAGAAAAGTGTTTTCCCCAAGGCTGCACTGCAAGTTTGCAAAGTGACCTTGGATTTGAGCCCATGTTTTCTGTTTCCATATTAAGCAGCCAAAGAGAGAGATTATGTCCTCCAAAGACCTAGTAAAGGATGTGTGTGTGTGTGAGAACACATCCACTGCGTCTTGATGTCTTGGTGCCACAAGGAAGAGAACCCTACCCCACCTACTGCATCAGGAATGGTGTTCTGAGGCCTCCCCACCTAGCTCCAGGGTACCTCTGTTTCCTGAAGGCATCTGAGAGGACAACTATACAGTACAGACACGTGCGGATGGGGAGAATTCAGTGGAATAAAATGTGGCTGACTCCAACTCACAGAAAATACACTTCATGCTGGCTCTATACAGGGCCCTAGGCAATGCTTACAGTAGGACCTCATAGGACTTCTAGTTATTGCCTTAAGATGTTTTAAGTTACTTTTCCCCATGTCTTATTCCCTCCTCCCCTTTTCCCTTTTTATTCTGCTCTTTATCTTACACCTTGGCTCCTCTCTATCCCCTCTTCTGTTTCTTACTTCTTCTTTTCTTTCCCTGTTCTCTCCCATCTCACCCCCTCCCCTCCCATCTTCCCTTTTTTGCAGTATTTGTTCTACAATCTATGTTAAAGGATACATACTATGCATAGACTTTTTTTAAAAATTGTTTTTATAATACATCATAGCCAGTATTGCTACTGCACACAGGGCTGAAGGCAGCCTTCTGGGATATTGGGTGGAGAAGTTTCCTGAAGTTTCATTTTGGCTGGAGACTCAAGCCAAAGGGAGTGATGCACCTCTTAAAATGTAACCCTGGCCCTTTGGCTGGGTGTCTGAGCTTCTATACCTAGGCAAGCACTCTTTCCTATGTCAGCTGGGGCAAGTGCCCTCTCTCCCACAAAGTGTTGGATGAACACAAACAAATCCTTTGTCCTCAACTATCCTTTTTCAAAATATTTTAAAATAAAATTTGAAATGCAAAAATTTTCCATCCTATGTTCCCTAATTCTGGGACCTAACAGTTTCCAGTTTGTTTTCCTTAAATTAGGATAGGGACAGAAATCGAACCTGTGATTTCACTGATAATAGGTAACTCGCAAGTAAGGAAACTATCAGTTCAGTCCTGCAACTTTGCAGCAATTTAGTCTTTTGTGTGTGTGTGTGTGTGTGTGTGAGGCAGTTGGGGATAACTTGCCCAGAGTCACACAGCTAGTGTTATGTGTCTGAGGCTGGATTTGAACTCAGGTCTTCTTGACTCCAGGGCCAGTGCTCTATCCACTGCGCCAGTAACTGCCCCTGCAATTTAGTCTTAAAGAATTGCAGAGGCATTGAGAAGTGACTTACCCACGGTCATACTACCAGTACATACCAGAAGTGACACAGTAGCTTGAGAGGCAGCCTCATTGGAGAGCATCATTCAGGAAAGCCTAGCCTTAACAGCAGTCCACACTACCTGCCATTTTATAACAGGGTCACTTAAATCTCATGTAATATTTATTTCAAAATGAACACAGGGCAAGTCACTTTGAGACTTCATTTTCCCTCATCTGTAAAAACGATATGGGCTTAGATGATTTCTAAGGTTTCTTCCAGCTCTGACATTTAGGGATATTTGTGAGCTTCCATTTCAGTGGGAAGAAGGGGTATCCTGTTTTCATCTCCAAATTTTGTGTGCCTCCAACTTGGGAGTTCAGAGGAGTGACTAGGGAAACCCTTTTAGAGATGTGGCTTTAGCCACTAAGTGCAGAATTTTTGGAGGGGAAGGGATATGAAGTTATTCTAAAAGTGGAAGTTATGGGACAGAAGGAACAGAGGTCAGCATGTGAATGAGTGGGGGGGGGGGTGAGGAATGAGTAGGTTTGTGTAAGAAGGTAATGGGAGGTAAGGTCAGGGCCAGACTGTGGTGGGTCTTGAGGAGTCAGATTTTATCCTACAGGCAATGAATAAGGAGCCTTGGAAGGGTTTTGAGCAGAGCATGATCAGAAGTGGACTTTGTACAAGGTAACTGGCAATCTTTACGGGATGAATTGATGGGGAGACTGAAGACAAAGAGGTAACAGCAATTGCTTAGATATACTATCTCAGATGACAAGGATGATTCTCTTGTCTTCTGACCTGGTCAACCATCATCTGGATGGTCATGTTCAACTTTAGGTAAATTTTTAGGGAGAACGGAATGACTTTTGTTCAGAGAAAGATGACCCAATTGGGGAGGGGCTGGAGACTATGATATCACAATATGCAAATTGAAGTGAATGGTGGTGTTAGCCTGAAAAAAATTGGGGGGAGGGGGGAGATATGATCAATCACGGTTTCCAGTGATTGATATATGAAGGGCTGTGATGAGGAGATAAGGTTAAGCTTACACGCAATTTGTCCTCAGCAGATCTTGAGGTTTGCTGGGAGCCAGATTTCAGTTTCATATAAAGACTTGTAGGTTTGTCCTAAAGCAAAATGGTTCATCTTGGGAGGTGAAAAGTTCCCCATCCCTGGAGGTCATCGAGGAAAGCAGTGGCTATATATTAGGGACATGGAATGCCAATCCAACCAACCTCTTCAATTTATAGAGGCAAAGCTCCAGAGGAAAAGTAACTGAACAGGGGACACACAACTAATCAACCCTGGGCCCCAGCCACCCCCCTCCCAGTCACACACACACACACACACTCACCACAATGGGGGCACTCGATCTGTATTGGTATACATCATACATTTATTAGTGAATATCCCTGTTAAATCAGCCACAACATTAAAAAAAATAATGATTGCACTACTTGGTCAAGCAGAACTAGCAACTTTCCTTTTAAAAAAAGTACAAATCTGTTAAAAATTTCAATCAGTATCCACATATATAATACAACATACTAGTTATGGTAAATGCTACAAACCAAGATGGGTCCAATGGAATGGAAGAGAACAAAATTGAAACCACACGTTTAGAGCTTTTAAGAACCATTTTTTTCTCTATATATTAGCATTTTTTTTTCAAATACATACATGGGGAAAATGAGGTAACTGTAAAATGTGCAAGTAACAGAGCCAAAAAAATTATATATATATTTATATATATATATAGATATTTATATATATATATAAAAACTTTCTAACACAGAACATGGGCCCCAGGCGGGGCAGGTGGGCAGAGGGGCTGGCCCTCAGCTGCCAGGCCCAGGGGTGCAAGAACTTAAAACAGTAAACAATGCACCATCCCCACCACAGGAAATCATTGGTAACAGTGGCATCTACAGCGCAGTCAGCAAATCACAAACATCCTAAATATTGGTTTTTCTCTTTTTTTATCTCTTTTTCGAGGATCTCTTTTAAATTTTTTTTTGTTTGTTTTGTTTTTCTAGCTGCTCATCAGGATAAATTCTGCAGCCCAGGAGCTGTGAGCCTTTCGATCTGCCTGCCAGGGAACCGTAAGGGGGGGGAAGGGAAGGAGTGGGTTAGACTCCGAGAAGGGTGTCCTTACCTAACATAAGGTTACCTTTACGGGGTCCAGGGTGGGGTCAGGGGTGAGGAGTGAAACAGATGGGTTTCTCAACACTGTTGGCTATAAATATAGAAATGTCACCTGGCGGAATATATACAGTAAGACTTTGGGTTCTCTGTGGCAAGCGGTGGGGGTAGGGGGAGGAGAGGAGCTGGTCCCAGAGAGTTCTGGGACACAGCAGATGGACCCCACCCAGGCCAAGGGGGAGGGCCGCTATGTTTAAGAGAACACGGTGTTTGGGCCATTCCTGAGGCAACAGGAGCCTGGGGAAGGGGAGGCTGAGAGGGGACAGCCTGCTCAGATGTGCCAGGCCCTACACGCAGTTCGCTTTGCAGGTGGTGTCCTGGTGAGCTGGGGGAGGTGGAGGTGGGACTGAGAAGAGGGTCTGGGTTGGCTGCCATGGAGGACCCATCAAAGGGAGCCCCTGGAGGCACCATGCTGTTCCCCAAAGATGGTCCCCTAAGCCAGGAGGGAGACAAGACTCCTACCTCAGAATGGGTACCCCACCCCAAGAAGAGGGGTAAGTTAGGCTCTCTTCCCTGCTCCCCCCAGAAGGAAGCTGAGCTATCTCATCCCTCCTAACCATGGGGCTCCTTGGAGCTACAGGCCTGATCATGCTGGGGGAGAAGGGCATCGTGAGCCTCAAGTCTCAATCACTAACCCTTCTCTCCCCAGGGCCTGGCATGCCCCCACCCTCGCTCTCCTCAGTTTCTCCACCCTGGCTATGTTAAGAGATGGGGAACAGGAGAATAAAATGCCTGGAACGACTTTGGGTCCTGGTCAGGCGTCTGTGGACATGTGCAGTACAATGCATGGCAGTTATTGGCTGAGCATAGACACCCTGCCCTGGCCCCTATGCCCCATGCCTGCCCCACAGTTGGCTGGGCTGGGTTAGGCTGGCCTGGGCACACACGCATGCATATTATTGGTGAACATTTACACAGGTTATAGGATTAGGGGTAGGGCCTCCTCCTCATCTTCCTTGCACTAATGCTAACACTTGGTTTTTGTTTTAAACCCCAAAAGAAACAAAAATAGGGGGAAAAAACAAACAAACAAACAAACAAACACCCCACACACGATTTTGGAAAAAAACTGCTGCTCAACACATCATGCAAAATGTCTGGGGAGAAATCTGGGAGCTGGGGGACAGCTCTTTTCTCCCCTCCTGCCCCTGCCTTGAGCCCCCTTTATATGTCCTAGAGGGGCTGCCGGAGGCCCTCCCCATGCACCATTCCCATTCAGGGACAGGCCCAGGGCATACATTCTCCTGGGGACAGGGGGAATCCCCCGGCTCACCTTGAAAGGGGGAGACCTCCCCTCCACTACAGTGCTTTGCTGTCTGTTGGTTGCCCCAAGATAGACAATCTTTCCAGCTGCCTCCAGAACCAGCCTGGATTCTCTACTGCCCTGGAGCTGGGGGGAGGCTGTCAAGGCCAGGCTGGGCTGGAATGTAGTGACCAGGGAGATGAGGGAGTGACGATGATGTTCAGCTCTCCTGTACCTCCCCTCCTCCTCCCTTCCCCCACCTCCAAGACTGGTTAATCCTAGGGGTGGGGAAGGTGTTGAAGGCCTTCCTGCCCCAACCCAAGGGCCCAGGGGAGGTGGAAAGATGGGTGAAAACAGACTTCTTTCCAAACCCAAGGCTATGCTGGGGGAGGAGGGAATCCTCCAGAGCTGTGGCTGGTGCAGGGAGTAGAGAAGTCTTCCCCTACCTACCCCAAGGGCAAGAGAGAGACAAGAAATTTCTAAACTGATCCCTTCTTGTCCAAAGAAACCAGGCAGATAGGCAGGCAGGTGCTGGCCAGAATCAACCCCATTTCAGTGCAAAAGAAAGTTCATTGGGGGCAGACAGGAACTCAGTGGCATTGACCTTGGCACACTAGCTCAGGTCCTATTCCCCGTGGGCCAGACCCGTACACCTGTCTGTCAATGCTTAGGGGGTGGGGGGGAAGGGGCGGCCAGCGCCCCATCTGGCCACCAGCTCCTCCATGTTGTCTTGCATTCTTTGCAAGAAGAAGGAAGGGATGGGAGGGAGGAAACCAGGTGCCCCTCTGGTGGAGTGGGGAAGGAGAAGCCAGCCAGGGGTGGGGAGGGGCAGCAGCCTCCAGATCTCTGAGGATGCCCTGCCCTGAGGGAGGGAGGGGAGAGCTGGACAGCCGAGGGGTGAGAAACAAGAGGCAAAATGAGACAGACCCAAGCAGGAAACTCCACGAGCTTCAAATACTGAGGCAGCCCCGAGGTGGCGGCAGTGGCAGCAGTGGGCGGGAGGAGACGGGAGGAGTCTTTGGAGGCTGGTAAACATGTGGGTAGCAGCTCTTCTCCTCAAGGACAGGACGGGCCAGAGCCCAGACCCTGCTCTGGGGGAACAGGTGGCTGTGGCCTGGCCCGGCCCAGAGTGGGTGGGAGTCCAGGGTCTGACACTGTCCATCTTCTTAGCCAATCCAAGGAGGGGCTCAGGGGAACAAGAGGGAGGTGGGTAACAGAGCTTGGGCCCCTCCCCCACTCCTGGGCCACATGCCCAAGATTCTCTGGGCCTCCAGGGCTGTGGACCGAGCTCACTCGGCCTCCCGGTGTACTTCTGAGGCATCTGCCCGGCAGATGGGGCAGGTCCTGTTTGCCTGAAGGGGGCAGAGAAAGGCCAAGAGAACCCATTAGGGAGTGAAGGGATGGAGGTTTGTAAGTGTGAGTGACTGTGTATGTTTCTGTATTGGGGGGGGGGTGGCGGGGCGAGGGCAGGTGGGCCAGTAATCTCCCTATTTGTGGTTTGCCTGCCCATAGCATTAGTCAGTCTGCAACACCAGTAGACTGGCTGATTTATGGTGACAGTTTGTCAGTTCTGTCTGTGCCATTTTCCCATTGCTCCATGGCACTGATCTGCCTGCAAAGCCGATGTTTCTCTCCTGTTGGTGAGAGGCAGTGAAAAGAGCCCTGGGTTTGAAGTCATAGGACCATCTTGGGTCTACACTTGGCCCTTCCCTTCCAGATCTGAATCAATGAACTATGATCTCATTCTCAGATCCCAGCCTTCCCAGGTGGTGACAACTGTGTATGTATGTGATGGGGGAGGAGTCTAAGTAGGATGACGTTCCACTCTCCCCCACCTCCCTGTGGGTAACTAAAGGTGGGAAAGGTGGGCATAAGGCCAGGGGAGGTGTGGCCTTACGTACTCACCTTTAACCATTTGTCGACACACTTGGCATGGAACTCATGGTTACAGGGAAGGACTCGGAGAAGCTGCCGGGCCTCAAAGTCACTGAAACAGACGACACACCTGCAGGACAGAGAAGAGATTCGGTGTGCCCTAAATTCAGGGACAAAAAGATAAGATGCCTGGGTTGTATTGCTGGGCTTTGCCCATTTTCAGCTCCAGGCTCGAGGTTTCATGCTGAATGCCAGCAGTCATTCCAGTGGAGGACAGAATCCAAGCCATGGGCTCAGCTACCTACAGGCCAAACTGGAGCGAGGAGTGAGAGTCCTAAGGAAGGCATCAGTTCTGGACAATGGGAGGGAAAGTGAGGCACAGTGGAAAGAGCCTATGTGCAGGTGTGGGGGCTTCTACTTAAACTACCTTGAGGGAAGGGGGGAATAAGCATTTGTTAAGCACCTACTATGTGCTAGGCACTGTGTTAAGCACTTTACACACACAACCTTATTTTATCTTAACAACAAGCAGGTAAGGTTTTATTATTACACCTATTTTACAATTGAAGAAGTTAGGTAACTTGCCTCAGGGTTACAAAACTACCAAAGTATCTGAAGCTGGATTTGCACTCGAGGTCATCGTGACTTCAGGCCTAGTGTTCTGCCCACTGTGCCACCTCCCTGCCTTGGACAAGCAAGTCCCTTCTCTCTGGGCCTTAATTTTCTCCTTCATGAGCCCTGATGCTGTTTTAAGGTTCCCAGTAGCTTTGAAACTCTTCATTCTGCAGTCAAAGATCTTTTCCACCACCAGCACTTCAGGACTCTCTATATACTATATGTGTGGGATAGTCTAAGGAGCTTTGCTTGAGTATGTAAGGGAGGGATGAACTATGGGGATCTGTCCACCGTCATCCAGCTCATCCCCCTTTCTACCCTGCCATGCAGACGGCTTTTAGTATTGAGGTTATGATTCTGCCATTGTGGACCCCAAAAGAACTTCTCCTTTTCTTTCACTTCATAGGCCTATCCCAGGAGAGGATAGCAGGCCTCTGTCTTTCCCCCCATGGCCCCAGCCTAGTCAGGAAAGAACACTTACAGCGTCTGCTCTGACTGGTGGCTCTCAGGGTTGAATCGATAGGATGGAAGTTGTTCTATGTCAGCTTTGGTGAGTCCCCTGGGCTTGGCCTCTCCCAGCCTCTCTGCCAGGTTCAGTAATGCCTGTGGGGGTGCAGCACAGAGAAGAGTTAGCAGCCTCCAGGTCCTTTTACTCAGGAGAGGTGCCTGGGTAAAGATGGGGGGGGGTTGCCATATGGCTGACATAGTGCTTTTTGTTTCCCCTCTCTATTTTCAGAGCCTTGGGGGACACTGCATTTCCCCAATCCCACCTGGAAGCCACATGCATCCAAAACCCTGGGTCCAGACCTCGTAATTCTCCATCTCCACATCATCCACGTCTAGGTCCAGGCTGATCGTGGGGCCCACGGCTGTTGGGGACATGGGAAGCATCGATCTGGGAAAAGAGGGGCTGGTGAGTGACTGAGGTCTTAGCGTCGAGATGTGAGTCAGGGAGGTGGCTGAGGAAGGTTTGTGAGGGACAGATGGTCAGGACCAGTAAGAGGTTCCAAGGGCCTGGGGCCCTGGGGAAAGGTTAGGGATCTGGAGAACCTGGTCCCAATAGGGTCAGCCCCCAACACTGCAGTGGTCAGTGGGGATCACTGGGTACTTACAGGAAGTATGGCAGGAAGCTGGGGTAATAGGTTGGTGGTGGGGGTGGCGGTGGTGGTGGTGGCGGTGGGGGTGGCGGGGGCAGAGGCGGCTGCAGTCGATACCTCTGAGTGCTCAGCCTCCGGGGCATCATATGAGGGTATGGCTACAAAAGAGGGGGCCAAAGTCACTGGAGACCTCTCTAGGGAGGGGAGGTCCCAGCTGGGACAGTGCCACTCCCTTCCCTCTTCATCCTCTCAGCCTCCTACTTACCATACCAAATGGCAGTTCCTGGTGCAGGGGCTCATGAGGGAGGTAATGCAGGGGGACAGATGGGGAGAGGGCCGGGGTATGGTGGGAGGCAGGATACGTGAAGCCCCCAATGGGGTGCTGCTCCCCTCGAAGATCCACATCATTGTCTATCCTCTGCAAGGGCTGGAGAAAAACCAAGAGCAGGGGTTGGGAAGGGGAGACAAGTGAGAAAAGGGGGACTACTGGGGAAGAAGGGACAAAGAATGAAGCCTCTTTGAAGTGAAAACAGGAAAGAGGGGAGACAGAATGCAGCAGACTTGTGGAGGGGGCAGGGAGCTAGGAGTCTGGGCTCCCAGGCCTCAGACTATAGGCGAGGAAACTGCATGCTTCCCCTGCCCACACTTACCATTCGAGGGTGCTGAGGTTGGAGGGGGACAAACTGGCCCAGTGGTGCCATGTGGGTGGCCTGGTGGGGGGGTCCTGGTGGTGGTGGGTGCAGGATATAATGGTCACTGGAGATGAGGGGGGGGAACGCCTGGTAGGAGACGGGGAGTTGTTGCATGGCACACGCCTGGATCAGCTGGAAGAGAAAAAGATAGATGGACAGATGCCTGGGCTATGTGAGGGCAAGGGCCCTCTTCTCAGAGCTCCATCCTAGGCTGGGCACAGTCTTCTCCTGCTAGTGGTAGTGGTTGGGGGGCTGGGAAAAGTGGAGGGGGAACAGGTTATATTACAGGATATATAGCTGGAAAAGTCCTGAACGACCATTTAATTTAACCCCCTCACGTTTTACTTAAGATACAAATAATTCACAGTATCAGTTAACACATATGGTTTTATCAATGAAAATTACACTAAAGATGAAGCATCATCATCCACCTTGCTCTGCACCCTGAGGACTACTGAGTCTTTCCATCTGCCCTGAAGCAAAACCCTCCAATGTGTAATGTTATCTCTCCTTATTATACTGTAAACTTCCTAAGCACCCGGGACTGTCTCAATTTTCCATCAGTATCCTCAGTGCTTAGCATAAGTAATCAATTGGTCCTTTTTCCTTCATTCATGAGAAACCTGAGGCCCAGGAGGAAATAGTTTGCCAAAGGTCATACAAAAGGTAGTAAAAATGCAATCTGAATTCAGGACCTCTGGTCTAAATGTAATGGTTTATCAAATAATGCTAGGTAGGCATCCATAGGGACTGCCTGTCACAGGAGTCAGAAGGTAGGCAGGTTTGATTTAGATGTCCCTTTTCTGAGCCCTCCCCAGGATGGGTGTGGAGCTACCACTTGTCCACAGGGAACACCCTGGAGCAGAAAAGACACAATGGGTTCATGAGAAGCAATGCACACATGTCAGAGAACCACAGAATATCAGAGGCGACTAAGGCAGGGAAGGACTCCTCCCTACAGCCTTCTCTTCTTGTCTGGACTCTGGCAAAAGCCATTTTTCACACACAATGCTTTAATCCCTCTCCTCTCACTTTTCCTCTGCAGTCTGGCCTCCAACCTCACTCAGCTCAAACTCAAGTTTTGGACAGATGTCCAAAGTTACCCATGATCTCAAAACCACCAAATCCAATGACCTCTTCCGAATCCTTATCCTTCTTGACCTCTCTACAGCCTTTGACACTGCTGCCCATCCCCTCCTCTCTCCCTACCTGTCTGCTGGCTCTTTCTCAGTCTCCTTTGCTGCACTTCCATCCATGTCATATGCACTGACAGTAGAGATCCCCCAAGGTGCTCTCCTGGGGCCTCTCTTCCTCTCTCTATACTCTATTGCCTGGTGATCTCTTTAGCACACACGAGTTCAACAATGGTCATCTCTATGCAGAAGATTTCTAGATCTATTTATTTGACCCTAAGCCCTCTCCTGCACTGCGGTCCTGCATCCTGAATTATCTACTGGACATTCTGAAAGTGAACCATCTCATGTACATGTTCCCTTTACAGTCACCACCCTCGTGTAGGCCCTCATTGCCTCTCACCTGGACCACGACAATCATCACCTCCTCATTTCCTTCCTACCTCAAGTCTCTCCTCCCGACTCTCAGTGCTCCCTCCCACAGCCGCCAAAGTGATTTTCATGAAGTGCTGATGTGACCGAGTGCCCCCTACCCTTGCGCAGTGAGCTCATCAGCTCCCTGTTATCTCCAGCTCCTCAGTTTGGTATTTAAAGCTCTTTACAACCTGGCTCCTTTTGACTTTTCTAGGCACCTTACTCTTAAGGCCAACTCCAATGGCCCACCTGCTGCTTCTCACACTGGTACCCTGTCTGACTTTGCATTCTCTGTCACCCATGCTGGAAGTTCTAGAGCCTCACCTCTGCATTGGCTGCCATTCAGTACTTGGTTCAAATGCCACTTTTACCAGGAGACCTTTGCTGGTCCCCTCAGCTGTTAGTACCTTTTCTAAGGTTACCTTGTATCTACTTCATATGTATCTTGTATACACACACATATACACGCATGCACGCACGCACACATGCTTATTACTCCCAAAAGAGTACGTCCAGTGCCTTTGCATAGTGGCTGGCAAACCGTAGGTGTTTAATCAATGCTTACTGATTAATTATGGAAAATCCACTGAGATAGCCGATTCTACTTTTGGACAATTCTCAGAAAGCTTTTCCTTAAATTGAGACGTCTCTACCTGCAACTTTTTTTTTGGGGGGGGGGGGGGTTTGTTTTTTGCTAGGCAATGGGGTTAAGTGACTTGCCCAGGGTCACACAGCTAGTAAGTGTCAAGTGTCTGAGGCTGGATTTGAACTCAGGTCCTCCTGGCTCCAGGGCCAGTGCTCTATCCACTGTGCCACCTAGCTGCCCTACCACCTGCAACTTTGTACCCACTGCTTTCAGTCCCCTTTGGCCTCAGGGGGTACAGCAACTCCCTCTTCCATGTAAGGGCCCTTCATGTTCTCCCTAAGCCTTCTCTTCTCCAAGCTAGGTGTGTCTAGTTCCTTCTACTAATCCTCATATGGCATGATCTTGAGACCCACATTATCCTGCCCCCCTTCTCTGGGTAGTCTTGATACTTTTGGACCACAATATATCAATGTCCTTTCTAAAATGTGGTGTCTCCAACTGAATACAACACTGCAGATTGGTCTGATCCTGGCAGAGGACAGGAGGGTTCTCATCTTCTCATTCAGGATGCTATACTCCTTTTTAATGCAAGATCTTATTAGCTTTGAGCTCAGAGTCCATGAAAACGCCCAGATCTTTGCCCCCTAACTACCACTTAGCTGTACTTTCCCCAACTCATACTTATGTAGGGGATTTTCTAAAACCCAGGTGTGAGACTCTGTAAATCCCTATCAAATTTCATCATTCATTGGACTGACTGCAGCCTGCCATTCTAGCCTGCCCTCACCATCATCTAATGTGTTAGCTGGCCCTCTCAACTTTGTCTCCTCTGTAAATTTGAAAAGCAGGGCAACCATGCCTTCATCCTAGTCACTGATGTAATACTAAGCAGAAGAGCAGCAACCCAGGAGAGATCCCTGGAGCAGTCTACCAGAGACCCCTTGCAGGCTGACATCTCTGGCATTTCACCAAGGATCGCTGCCCTAACATTCTCTCCCTGAACTTGGTACTAGGGATAGGGCTTGGTGAAGATGGGGCCACATGTCCTACACCATGTGCCACCAACCTCACTAGGGGCAAAGTACTGTTCCAATGAACCACTGAAGCTCTGAGATCCTGGGTGGAGGGAGGAGAGAAGGAGTAACGTGAGCCGAGAAGAACAGTGGCAGCCTCGGGCACTGAAGTCCTGGTAGCTTCTGGCTCTGCCTCCTGCTCCCCTCCATTCTGGCCAAGGTATGTTCCATCAGAGGATTCAGGGCTACAAAGCACCTTGAGGGAAGCAGTAAAGGTACTTTCTGGGCCTTAGCTTCCACTTTGTTAAAATGGAGAAACTGTCTTGCCCAAGTTCATTCAGGTAATAAGTGTCAAGAGTGAAGAGTCTAACTGGACTGGACTCTAAGCTGAGTCTCTTTCCCTTACGGAACAATGCTGCCAGCTGTAAAGTTCAACTCTCCCCTCCCCCCAAAGCCTGTGCCTCAATCAAGCTCTGAGAGTCCTGGTGGAACGGCCCTGGCCCAGAGCAGTGGTCACCTGTGAACTCCAAGGTCAAACCTTACAAAGACACAGCCAGGCACCCCTGCCCCCAGTCCCATCCCAGGGCCCTCCAGCTGCAGTCATATTCCTGTTCACTCACTGGGGGTGGGAGGCAGCAGAGGGGGTAGTGCTGCCCGCTGAACATCACGGAGCATGCTGGGAGCTGCTGCGTGTTGCACCCAGGGATATGCTGGCCTGTGTGGAGGGGGAAGCCTTGAGTCGTTACCGTGGTGACCGTGTAGGACAGAGGGACGGCCCCCTGGTGCACCTGAGAAAGGAAGACAACAAGAGGCACCTCTCAGGACATGCTTCCCCACACTGGCCGCTGCATTTTATAGCTGAGGCCTGACCAGGCAGGCTGAAGTGACTTGCCCCGTGGGAAGAAAGGATCTGAACACAGGTCAGCTGACTCCTGGTTCAGGACTCTTCCTTTTTCCTGGGACCATCTTCCCTGAAGATGCCAGGGTCTGAGGTAGGAGATGGTCCTGTCTTCTTAGGGGATGGGATGGGGACAATAGGGACCCTCCACTCCACCACTTGTCCCAGCCTACCTGCTCGTGGAGATCAACCATGAATGGGGTCTGCTGGGCAGCTGGGTGGAGCATTCGGGGTGATGTGCCGGCGAGGGCGAAGGTGCGAGGCTCCTCTATGGGGAGGTGCTGAGGCTGCAGCTGGGGGGGGAATGCCGTCGACAGGAAGCTTTCATCCTGGGTGAGGAAGCTGGGCAAAGGGCGATCACGTCGTCCCAACTGGCGCCGGGTGGGGGGGCTGCACCACAGAGACGAGGCCCTGGCTAGGACCACCTCATCTCCAGGGGAGGATGCCCAGGACAGGGGGATGGCGGTGGGTGGCTGAGGTGAACTAGGAGACTGCTTTCTTTCTTCCCTTAGATTCCTAAGGCCCCCCTCCTGTGGGGAGTGGGGGGCTGGCACCTTTTGGAATCTTTTCAGCAAACTCAAGGCAAGATAGAGCACTGAGGTCACTGACCCCACTGGGGGGACATTATAGATTCAGAGGATTTAGAGTTAGAAGGAAACTTGCAGATTCATTTGAAAGCAAACCCAGAGCAGGGCACTGGCTTTTCTAAGGCCACAAAGTGAGTCAAGGGCAGAGCTCTTTACTCCTGTGAAACCTGGGTGTCCTGCCTCCTCCTTCATAGGATTCGGAGCAGGCATATGCCTCAGAGATGACCTCTAAGATCCAAAGAGATTGGTGGCTTGCCTAGGGTCACAGAAGTACAAGAGCAGGATTTGAACCTGGGTCTTCTGACTCCAAATTCAATGATTTGATCACTACCCTGGGTCACTGTGAATTGGGAAGGCTTCCCTCTCCTCTTTCTGTGGTAAGAAGGGAGGCTCTTACCTTCGCCTGAGGAGTGCTGGGGTACTGCAAGGTCCCCCGGAGAATCGGTGCTGGTTGAAGGGGGCTGAGGGTGGCCGCCTATTCACTACCAGTTCCCATGGTCGCATTGGTGATGTCGGGAAGGTGGGGGAAAGAGCTGGACCTCAGTACTGGGGAAAGGGAAGGGCCAGATCTGCAGGAAGAAAGGAAGGAAGGAAGGAAGGAAGGAGAGAGATCAGGAGGAGCCCAGCTTGGGCTGCTGAGGCCAGAAGCAGCAGCTGCCCCAGCTTCAGTTGGTGCTCTGGGCACAGAAGCACAGACAGAGGAGTCTTCCCAGGATGCTTCTGGGTTAGAAATCTTCATAGCTCACAAGGAAAGCTGGATGGAGTCAGGAGGCCTAATTTCAAATCCCCGCTCTAGTACTGTCTAACTATGTGACCTTGGGTAACTCACTGCCTTCTTTGCACCTTCGTTTCTTTCTTTGTAAATTGGGGATAACACATACGGGACCTACCTCACAAAACTGTGATGAAGAAAGTGCTTTGGAAACCATAAGGCATTACAGAAATGGGTGCCATTACCATCCTTCTATGGGGAAGCTTAGCCAGAGGGAGGCTTTGGGCCCTACTTCAATCTCATCAGCACATTCACTGAGTCCTCCTAGTTGATTTATAAAGTGCTTCAGGGCTGAAACAGACCTTGAGGATCATCTAGTCCAAACCCCTTTTTTTTTCAAAAGGGGAAATCAAGGTCCAGAGAAGGGAGTGACCCATCCAAAGTCATGAAACTCTTAAGCAGCACAGCTCTGATTCAAAGCTAAGTCCTCTGAGATCCTTCTAACAGCCCTGTGAATGCTCCTTTGGGAAAACTGAGACTCAGGGGAGCGAAGATTTGCACAAATTCACACACACTAGAAAGATCAAATAAAAGGAACTAGAACTCGGATCTCCTCACTCTCTCAAGACGGCACAACTTCTGATAAAACAGCTCCCTACCACACCTGAATGACTTCTCTTTGTTTGGTCCCTGTTTCTTTTATTTGTTTGGGTATGCATTGTTTGTTACTAGCAGTAGCTTCAGAGCAGAACTGGCTCCACTTTTCGTTGTAACTCCAGCATAGCGCTATGTAGTACCTGCCTTGTACATAGTGGGTTGCTTAATAAATGTTGGTTGAATCCATAGTTAAAAAAATTCAGTCATTTTAATTGAATCCACAATATGGAGAGGGGCTGCTTGGGAGTCAGAAAAACCTATGCTCAAGTCCGATACATCCTGGCTAACCAGAAATGGAGCCCTGGAGGACTTAACCCTTTCATTTCTGGAACCCTTCCCCTTTCCCCAGGTGGTGAGGGCCTTAGTCCCATGCTACATATAAGCCCAGCTCCAGCCTGACTTCACTACCATCTCCTTGCAAGATTCCCTTGCTGTAAAAGGAGGGCCCTTCCAGTTCTGACATTCTATGATTCTGAAATCCAGACTATTTTCTCAGACCTCAGTCTCCTCCTTTATCAAATGGAGACAGAACTACTGGGAGAGCCAAAGAAGGTGGGAATGGGAAAGGGTTTGGGGAAATAGAGACGGTGCCAGTGGTGAGAAGGGAGGAGAGAGGCACTGCCATTCCTGGGGCAGTGGGCCTGGCTGGGCAGACTCCAGAGGTGTTATGAAGGAATAGGGCCTCTTCATATTACTGGGCCTGCAAGTCAACCAGCAAGTCCTGGGCTGGGAAGTGGGTGACCTGGGTTTGAATCCTACCTCTTTCCCCGACTTGCTGTATCACCTTGGGCAAGTACCTACCCTAAGTTTCCTTTGTAGAAGGAAGGGTTAGGCTTCATGGTCAGCAGTTCAATGACCACTTCTTTCCCAGTGCTATCTATTTTCCCTCCTGAAAGTCTGCTCTGGGCTTGGCTGTACTGTGGGGAAGCCAAGAAGGCTCTGTCCCAATGACTGTCCAGAAAATTCACCTGCCTGCCTTCCTAGCGGTCTCTGCACTAGTGAGAATGGGAGAGAAGGAGATGCAGTGGCATTAACAATCAAAGGCCTGGGGTCAAGTTAGAGCTCAATCCTGGCACTGTGTGACCTTGACATAAAAGTCACTTCTCAAGAGCCTGTTTCCTCCTTCATCAAATGGATGGTCTCTCTAAGACCTGACATTTCTGAGTTTTATGCCTTAATCTTAAGAGTCAGGAGATCTGAGTTTGAGTCCCAGATTTTATACTTCCTAGCCTCACTTTGGCTAAGCTGTAAAATGGGGCCAGTAATCCTTGAACTATCTAGCTTCAAAAGGGTCACTGGGAGAAAAGCCCTTTGTAAACCTTAAAATGCTATAGCACAGGGCACTGTAGACGCTATGACTGGACAGAAGAGACTGCTGAGTTCAGAGAAGCAAAGCAGAGTGGAACAACCACCCTTCCCTTCCCCGTCCTACAGGCCCACCAGGGATGGGATAGCTTAACTTAAGGACTAGCTGGCTGGGTCTGGGGCTGGGTATTGTGGGAATGTGGAAAGATTCAAGTGCTAGAATGGTGAAGGCTCTGAGGGCATGGGATGGAAGCCAGTCAACCCAACTCTGGGATAGAGGATCTGAGGATTTGAGGATTGGAAGATACTTAGAGACCATCTATACCAAAGGTGTCCAACTCCCTTTCAGCAAAACCAGATGAAAATGTCATTGGAAAATGTTTAACAAAATAAGTAAAACTATAATACAACATAATGAAGCCAGCAGGGACCCACAATCATCTCCAACACACATACATAAATAAATAAGGTCTGAGGTGAGGAGAAAAGAGGAAGGACCCCTCCTCCTCCTCAACAGGGTGGGAAAAGTATACCTTAGTCTTAGGCCTTAGAGAGCTTCCAAGGCTTTTTTCCAAAGCTGAATCTGACTTGGCTGTCCTGGTCTGGGGCAGGGAGGTCAAACTCAAATAGAAAAGAACCACTAATCTGTACATTAGGATCCCTGGTGCCTTCATACGACTTAGTTTTAATATGTAGTCCTATGTGTTAATGTATTTTTATTTTGTTAAATATTTCCCAATTATAGTTTAATCTGGTTTGAGTGCAGGCCCCATTTCTTATCTGCACCAAGGCCCTCATTCTGCAGATGAAGGAGACTGAAGGAGGGCAAATTAATGGCCATTTTGCTTTGCCTTAGGTAGCAGTGGCAAACTCAGAGCTCGGACATACTTCACTCAACTATTCCCTTGCTCCTGTCAACAACACAAGTGCCCCAGGCTAGAAATACAAATGGCTTCAGACTAGACTTTAATCCAACCATGGCAGAGTGAGGGAGGGAGAAGGTGGCAGAGGGAAGCCCTGAGTCATCTGGGGACACCTGAAGAAATGTGTCTACCCCAGCAGCCTCCCCATCAGCAACAGGAATTTTAGGTTCCTGGGCAAGAGGGGTTGTTAGGGTGACCCAGGAGAGCAGTTTCTAAATGTTTCTTTGGGACAACCTCTGGGGCCCATATAACCTATCCTGATCATTAGAGGTACAAAAGCTGATTGGACTGAAAAACGGGCAGAAGATAGCCGCTGAGTTAATAGGCGTTTAATGAGATCCAAAGAAATGAGCCCGGGAAGCTATTGCTTCTGCCCAGGGCAAAATGTTCCCACTGGGTTGAGTGAAGGAGTCACTCCTCTTTGCTCTCCACCTCAGACCCTACGTGTGTGTGTGTGTGTGTGTGTTAATGTATGTGTGAGGGCGCTGACTGTTAGAGTTGTAAGAGTCCTTAGGAATCATCTGATGTAATCCCCTGCCAATGTCATGGGAGGACCTGAACCCAGATCTCTCAACTCCCAAGGCAGTTCTTTTCACAGGGGCTATATTCCCTCTTTGCACCAACAGGGGAGTGCTTCCTCCTAGGAAAAGGGCCATGTCTTTTATTCATTTAAGAATCAACAGGCATCTATTATACATTTGCCATATGCCAGGTACTATGGTATGTGCCAGGAATACACAAACCCTTGTCCTCAGCATTTACATTTTCTGGGGATCAAAGACAAATGAATAAATTAAAAGTAAATACAAAAGACTTCTGGGGGGGGGCTGGGAGAGGTACAGGAGGAGGAACTAGTAACTGGGAAGATCAAGAAAAGCTTTACAAGCTGAGCCTGGGAGGAATCTACTGGTTTAAGAGGCCGAGATGAAGAGTGAGGTGCTTCTAGGTATGAGAAGACAGCGATGCGAGATGCAACGCTGGATGGCAGAGCACATGAGACATGAGCATGGAAAGATAAGCTCCATGGTCTGAAATGCCAAATGGATGTGTTCATATTTGAGGGAATAAGTAAGAAGGGAAATAAATGAAGTTTTCTGAGCAGGGGCAGGAGATGGTCAGATCTTTGTTTTAGGAATGATAAAACTGTCAACTGTATGAAAGATTAATTGGAGAGGGGAGGAAACTACAGGCATCAAGACCAATTATTGCAATAGTCCAGGTAAGAGGTGATGAGAGTTTCAACTATGAGTCCAGGTCATGTAAGTGAAGAGAAGGGGATGGTTTTCTAAGCCACTGGTTAAAAGTGAGTTGACAACATGTTTGGAACCAGGGGCTCCTGGTACCAATATCTCACCAATGTCAAATGAAACCTGAATTCCAATGTCCCCAGGGAGATTTCCCTCCTGCAAGTGCTATCTTTGCCTCCAAACTGAAGACCTACAATTTGGCCATGAACCAGTAAGTGGAAAATATACTAGACCTGGGGAGTTAGAAGACCTAGCTAGGTTCATGTCCCAGCTCTAGCACTTCTGAGGAGTTGTGAGACTTGTGCAAGTGCCTTTTCCCTGTAGCTCGGCTGCCTTGTCTATAAAATAAATTGTTGAATTTAATTGAACATGGCTGGTGGGGCTCCGTGATCACAGAGGTGCCTTCAGTTCTGATCTGTGAGTCAGCGGCAGAGCCCAGGTCTCCTGACTCCAAGGTATAACTTTGAGCTCTTGAAGGCAAGACTTTATTAGGTGCTTGGGTTCAGTCATTCATACAACCACCACTGTTTAGCGGGAAGAGAGAGAAGATAAAGTAGTCAGAGTCTAAAAGGGAATGGTTACAGAAATCAAGGGAGTAGGAGTAGAGTAGCCAGGAGGAGGGGTGATTGACAAGGTCAAATACTGTATAAAGTCAAGGAGAATGAAGACTGAAGAGTGGCTAAATCTAATGAACGGATGATCTTTCATACTGTACGGTGAGAGGT